CGAGAAGATGAGGTATGAGGACGCCACGCCGCGCCGCGGAGGTGATGGCCCCCGCTGCGCAGGCGGGGCGGGGCGGGGAGGGGCCGAGACGTCTTCAGCCCCGCTCCCGATCCGACAGCGGCACGCATATAATGCAAATGGACAAACAATAGCTTTTGGCCGACGCACCGCCGCCGCCGCTGGTCAGGTGGTATGATGAATTACATTATTGGGCGGGAGAATTTGAAACAAGAGGGGGTGAAGAAAACACAACACAAAAGGTCGATTCCGCGCGCGCAGCGAAACTTAATCGAGTACCAAACAACAACAACAAAAAATGCCTTGGTTCGACGCTTTGGACGTCCACCGCCACCGGTCCTACACGACACGCGGCAGGGGGTACCGCTACTCGTCCGTAAGCCCGTATCATTAGCTGGGGCGGGGCGGAGCGGGGCGGAGCCTCCGAACATTTGTTTCGCCATCAGAAACTAAACCATCGCACTAGCAGACACATTTCATCTTTTTTTTTCCTTCTCCTATCCTATTGCCGCTAGCCTTCTCTATTCCCCGCCTTCTCCAAGCGCGCGTTACATTCAGACACCACCAACACCGGCCGCTGCCAGACCGACCTCGTTATCCGTTTCTCCCATCGCCTTTAGCGAGTTAGTCGAGGTTGTCAAATTTTCAGGTAGCTCATTAGGTATTTTTTCCCTTCTCCTCTCTTTCTCTTTCTCTCTCTCTCTCTCTCTCCCGGCTGCCACTCGTCCGTATCTTCTCTTTGAATGATACTGCCCCGAGGGTGCCCCGCCGCTGCCGCCAACGATCGTGAGAAGAAGAGAAGAGGAAGAAGAGGAAGAGTGCGCGATTCAGGAAACGTGTACGAGGGGTTTCAATGCCGACAAGTTGGTACTACCACGAGGCGCCGCCGCCGGGATTCATATAACGCCGCGCCGCAGACTCCTAAACTTATTCCCCTGATCCTTTACGAACTTTCTCCCTCTTCCCTTACACCACCGCCAGGCGGAGGTTCCAACAGCCCTCCCCAAACCCCCTCTCCCTCTCTCTCCCAAGAATCTCCGCAAAGCCCCAAACAATTTATATCCGTTAATGCCGCCATCTTGTTCCCGCGTCTGGTCGTTAAAGCTGACAACGTCTCCCCATAACACCCCCTTCTTCCCCCGCCGCCGCCCTCGAGCGCGCCAAGCGCGCGCGCGCCTTGATCTCTGCACTTTGCTGGCGAAAAGCCTTCGCAGTCCTAATTCATTCCCTTTGATAAGTGGCAGCAGCAGCAGCAGCCAACTCCGCCGGAATATCATTTCCAGTCTGGAAAATGTAACACGAACACGGGCGAGTATTTCATACGGCAGCGCAACGACCGCGAAGTTTAAAAACTTCCACAAGGGTTTGTAACGAAGGCGTGTTCAACAGAACTTTGAGACGGGCACTTGCGCGACACACGGCACGACGTATCGTAAAAGTGCGGAGGGCGAGGAAGTTCCACACAGTTTTACACACAGTATCCCAAATCCTTTTGAGAGAGAGAGACTCTCTGTATCCATCCATACCGGCGCCCGCGCCGCTTCCCATGTGAACCAAACTCGGACCGCTATCAGATCCGGGAGTAAGCCCGCGGGGGCCGCGCTGCCAGCCCCGCCCCGCCGCTGGCCCGGGGGTGCGGCTACTGAATTAGCGATCCTGCAGCGACAGCGGGGCGGGGCGGGGCATGATGTGCTGCTGCCTGCTGATCCCTCTGCGATGTTATCGCCCCACCCCGCCCCGCCCAGCCCGCGGGGCGTGTCATCCCTCCGAGGAGGGGCTGCTGGCTTGCGCCCCCCCGGCCATCCGTTAGGGGCCGCCCGGCCACACCACCAACCACCACCCCCCACTTGCAACCTAACCTCCACTTAAGCAGCGCGCGACCGACAACCCCCACCCTCCCACTTCCCAACCTCCCCACTTACAGGCCGTGCCCCACCACCACTAACCCTTCCATGGGGATCCTCTCCTTATATACGTCCCGAAAATGAAAAGAGAAAGCACACCCATCAGCACTGATTGCACACGCCGACAGAATGGCGAAGTAAACACGGGAGGAGAGGGGCGCGATGTGTAAACCCTCTCACGCCTCTCTGTCTCTCTCGCACCCCTTCCACCCCAGCGCCCGCTCGCTCTGGCTCTCTCGCTCTCAAGCCCCGCGCGCCACCACACACTCTCTTCCGCATGTACATCACGTTCGATTGAGCCAATGGGAGGCTCGGCGCCAGATCCCTCTTCCATCTGCTTCTCTCCCTCTCTCTCCCACCGCCGCCCACTTTGTGAATCTTTATACGGGGCGGGACGCCGGCGCGAGGGTGGGCGGG